AAAAAAAAGGAGGGGGGGGGGGGGGGGCGAATTAGACCCAATACCAGAACTGGTTTTGGGCCTAGGCAAATGATTTTTTTTCTTTTTAATACCCTCGTTTGTATTCTTGTCCTCTCTTCCTCTCTCTGTTTGGGTCAATTTTTGCTTAATTTTTAAGTGGGTTTGGTTTTTCTACTTCTATGGGTCGGGGTTGCGGGTTGCCCAATAAAAACCAAAGCAGTGAAACCCTAATCTCTCTACCTCTCTCATTCTCTCTCGCCAAACGCCAAATGTGGAAGCCCTAATGCCGTCGTCAACTCTATTTTGAATCAAATCATCCACGCCGATCACCATTTTCCTTAAATAGTATTTTCAGTCCAAATAGCATTTTCAGAGATAGCTAAGGTATGTAGGCATTACTCTTTTCTTGATGAGATACTAAAATTAATTGCAAAAAGGTTTGGTACAAGGCAATGTTGGAGTGCTAGTCAGCTCGCCATGAATTTGGGGTTGATTTTACCATTTTATAGTTGACCTAATAGTGAGGAAACCTGCCCTTTTCTGATGCCTTACGTTTCTTTCATTTTTTATTTTTCTATGAAATTCCCTTGAGCATCTAGGTGTTGAAGTTTTTATCATTTTGCAAGCATCTCAGAGGAGTCGACAAGAATTGCTAAAGGAAGTGAAGGAAAAAAAGCTGCTTATGTTTTAGTTGAATCTGATAAAGCCAAGTTGTCTGACAGGTAACAATTTAGTGTTGGTTTTATTTATCACTTTTAATTGTTTTGCCTTAGACTATGACATTTTCTTGCCTTAGAATAATGAGGATGTGAATCTGTTACTAGCATTGTCCTTTATTTAGTTGAATACTACTTTTATTTGGTACTCTATTGATATCTCTTCTCGATATTAGTTTTTCCTGGCTAATTATGGGAAAAAATGGTAGACATGCTTGGGACAGAATGATAATTTGTCTTTATAATAATCAGTTAACTCACAACTTTAGTATTTTGGAGCAAGCTTCACCTACAAAAGTGAGGATTTAAGTAGGGAATGGAGAGAAATATCTCAAACTGAGATTTTAGGTAAAGTTTGCTGGTGCTTTTGGAAACTACAATGTACATCTAGTTGCATATCATGATATTGATTGGCTAAAAATTGCAGAGGAATTTTTTGCTAGCCTTGGTGTGGATATTTGACGAACTGACCAACCCAACCCAACTTGATCGAAACTTTGTTAGGTTGGGTTGCAACCCTTTCACGGGTTGGGTTGGTTTGATTTTATATCAAATCGATCATGTTTTGGTTGAGTTTGGCTTGGGAGAAAAATCGATCCAACCCAACCCAACCGAACCCAACCCAATCCAACCCATGCCCAACCCTACTACCTGGCTCTGCCCTACTAATATAAAATCTATCTTCTATATAATATGCATTCACATTTCAGTATTCCTTCTCTTTTTTTGCATCCAACAATTTCTTAAGTGAAGTGGGCTGAATTAGTTGAAGTTTCCAAAACCATTATTGCAATTCTAACTAAAATTCAGTATCCAATTTTCAGTTTTATAAAGAAACTACTTGGCTAGATGAGTTTAGGCTGTAACTGGAATTGGAGTTTTGCTGTTGGGATTTTTAATTTTTGTTATTAACATATATTACAGAATGACAATCAAAAATGTCCAAAAAAACAAAACCATTATATAGTAATTAGTTGTACAGAAGAGGAAACGAGCGAGGGAGGAAGAATTAGAAAACTACAATATTATTAGCTCCAAAGAGCAATATGAAAATTATGTAAACTTTTCATTGTCTAACCTTATCTGTATGGGAAATTAACTATGGCATAAAGTATTATGAAAGAGTCTTATTTGTCTTATGTTAACAACTTGATTGGGGAAGAACTATGTTCAATTTTTATTTTTTTTATTCCCCTCTCTTCAGGTGTGAAAAAGTAAAAAAATGCTTGTTATTTATTATATTTAATTAAATATAAAATATTCAAACAACACCAGAAAAAGAAAGACTACTTACATTCCTTTTATTTTCCATTTGAATTTTAATTTCATATTCCAAATAAAAAGTAAACTATCGATCTTCTTTAGCTCCGATAGTGGGACTATGTCACTATGTGAACCCCCTCCTAAATTTTTTGAAACAAGAAGGACTAATGCGATAACCTTTGAAAACACACAAGAACTTAACAAGTTGAGGGACAAATTTGCTTCATATGGCCTTAAATTGACTTATATGTGCAAGAGATGCATATTGATGATGGTTCATGCATCAATCAAATTTGTAAAGTACATGAAATTTGCACAAACAATACTGCTTGGCAGAATTCGAATTGTCTTGAAATTCTAATTTCCTCTGTAAAATTAAGTTCAAAGATGATATATAAACTCATTTTGGAATGATTATGATATATTTGAGTAATGTTTTCTTTACTCATTTATTTGGAAGGGATTTTGTTTCATCTACGAATTCATCACATCATATTAAGGCATATATAAACAAAATCTAAAGAATTTTTCATTCTATCATATTCAAATTGTGAAACTAACAAATTTCAGATATGACAAGGAAAAAAAAGCTATTATGGAAGATTTATTAAATGGTAATTACGGAAAACATGTTGGTCATTGCATTTTCAGACAATTTTGCCCCTCAGTAGACTATGTTTGTAGAGACAAAAAGAATAATGTAGTATAGTAGAAAGTTTTTGTGTTGCTAATGTTTTGCTGCTGAGAACATTCTTCATATGCTAGTGCTTGCTTCTTTCTTATTTTTCGTATATAAATGAGTACTTTTTCTGTGAACTATTTAGGACAAAAGATGGTACTTTTCTGATGCTCTTGCTTGTTAATTTGGGAGTTCTTATTGTATTTCCTTCCATTTTGTTTCTCCTTGAACATATTTTAGACACAAAAATAATTGTAGTTATGTGGAGTCATAAAACTAGTCCACTAAAGGATCAGAACTCTTACCGCTTAATTATGTTGTTTTAGATAATATGTTTCAGTTATAAACAATAATAGTTATTTTCCTACTGATGTGCGTTGTGTGACTTTTCAGTTATAACAAATTTTTCTTACTGCCGTGGCTTGTTTATGAAATAATTACAAGTATATAAGTATGAGAAACAGAAAGAATAGAAAACTTATTTTTCCAGGTACATAATTCGTCATCTGGATTGAAAACAAACTACCATGTGTACATGAGTGATTGATAGAGATGATTTGCTATGCCTCATATGGATCATTCATTATTTATAGTTAGTTTATCAATGTGGCTGATGAGTGAGGTTTAAGGAACTCGAAAGTACTTATCAAATGTTCCCTTTATTTTATGTTATGAACTTAAAAGTTTTTCTTTTTTCTCTTTTAATTGTCAATTACGTGTTATTTATATATTTTTATGTTTTCTTTATTTATGGTTTTGTAATGTAAAATGAATTAGTGGGGAAATAAATATGAGAGTGCTGTATGTACATTTGTCAAGTTATTAATACATTATGCCTTAAAATCTCTTTGGGGTTTATGTTAATATGCTGAACAAATATTTTATTTACACTTTACAATAAAAATTATTTCACTTAGCTTTCGAGTCAACACTCATTCATTGTCATCTAAGGTTGTTGCTGTGATATGCTATCTATGGTTTTCTAAGTCAAAACCTGAATACGTGGGATTTTTTTCTGCAGTTAGTGTTAATGAAGTGAAGTTTAAACATTAGCAATTCTGTAACTGGCGATGGGTTAATAAATAAGGTAATTTGCTTTCAACATTTATGAAATCATCCTTTGTACTTTAAATATATCATGATTACACACATCCTCTGGTTTTTTCACCTTGTTGTTTCGAATTTGACTCTTTCTCATTATGGAGTTTGAGTAATCATTTTATTTTATTTAGTAAAAATGATTGACAACAACTTTGCAAAGTGTAAAGACAAGGATGATCGAAATCTGTTCTATTAATAACATCATCATATTCAATATTTTTAGCATAGAACTTTCTTCCACTCTGAAAATCATAACAGCCATGCATTGTTTGTGGTTAAAACTCATAACTTTTTGTAATTTCCAAGTCTTAACTTTTTGTAATTTCCAAGTCTTCTTAATTATAATTTCCAAGTCTTTTGGTTGCATTGATTTTTGTTGATTATCTGATGCCAAAACTAGATTTCCCGACAGTTCATCTCTCGATAGTTGTTGCTCAACTGTCGTTCCCGACAGTTAGCCTCAGTAATTCTCGACAGATGAACCGTCGACGGATAAAATGTCGGGACCGACAGTTCAGTTCCTGCCTGCCTAGCCCTGCCTACCAGTAGAAAATGATATTTCTATGTAATATGCGTTCAAATATCAGTATTCATTTTATTTTTTGCATGCAACAATTTCTGAAGTTCAGTGGGCTGAATTAGGGCTATTTTATTGAAGTAATTTGGTTGGTACTCATATGCATTTGGTGGAAATCATGTTTGATGTGGGCATATCTTCCGTTTCAATATTTCTGTTACTTGTGTCATAACCTTGCTTTCACTTGCACACATTGAGCTTGTGGGTGGCACTCGTTGCATTCAGGAGGAACTGTTGAAAGACACTTCACAACATACTTGTGGTTTTTGGTCCTATGCTGGTAGGAAGTTTATATTCTGGTTTGACGCATTTATTTCTTATTTTGTCTTTGTAGACATGGATTTCGAGCCTCTTGTTCTAGAGAATGCACGCTTGCGGGGCCACGTATCGCAGAGAAGCAATCTGCGGTATATAAAAACAGTTGTCGAACATTTTGACGAGCGACAGCGGGCAGACTTTTGCAACTCATGCCTTGGGTTCTTATCCGAGGTTCCAGATCTCCAGTTCTCTGCCCAATTAATCCAATGATCATCCTGTCCCTGCGTTAGATGACCTTGCCAGGGACAGTGTTGCTCTACAGTTCCAAGCAGAGCGTATAGACACACCCCAAGAAGGTACCTCCAAGGATGAGACTTCTGATGAGGGCCATGACGGTGGGGGGACCAGTGGCCAGGAGGAAGAGTCAGGAGCCGATGAGAGCGGAGAGGACGAAGGTGAGGACTCGGAGGAGCACGACAGTGGGGATAGTGACGGTGATCGAGTTCGACAAAGTAAACAGACGGGGACTTTTTTCACCCCTACCTGCATAGAGCTACTTCTCCCATGCAGGCACTGTCCACCTCTCATGTCCGACCAACTACAACAGCTGGATCAAGCCTCACAGCAGACGATGTTCAGGGCAAGTTGCTGGATCAAAGAATTCTGTTTGAAATGCGGCTCCGCACTGTGAAGCTCGAAATCATGCAGCACGTGTCCGATGAATTTAAAAAATTGAAGGACTTCATATCCACCATTGTCCCAGCATCCGGCTCTACAACCACTACATGTGTGACTGATGTGGACCCCGAGCCCAGACAATCAGGTACTTCACCATATGCGTACTACAGTTCTTTATGACAATGTTCACTTTATCCCTGGTCATTGACATGTTCTGTATGACAATTGTTCATTCATTTTAGACTACGGAGGCTTTGCAGGCCACCACCCGTCGCCTGACGGTATTGACGAAGACATGGGGATTGACAGGCAAGAGGGGGACGGTATGTGCATTAATGGAGAACACATGGAGCCATGCCTGGACGAGCAGGATATGCCATTGCCCACTGGAACCGAAAGTCTGCAAGGTACGTCCGTTACTTTTGAGCAAATTGATTAATTATCATTTCATGTGTTTCAGAAGTTTTGAAAATTGTTAAAATTCACTTTCCATTCGCTGTTTCGTTGTTGTTCTGAACAGACATAGCACACATTCAGCCGTGCCCGGAGGATCACCCCGTGCCAGGGCCCTCTACAATCGAAGAAGTGCAAGGTATTGCATTATTTTTCACGATTTGAACAAATATTATTTCAGGCATTCGATTAGTTTACAATTGTTCATTTGTTGTAGTCGAAGGAGGCCATCTCCCATCGCCTGGCGACCGTGACAAAGAGCAGGACATGCTGCCTATTGGAACCAAACAGATGCAAGGTATGTGTGTCATTTATGAAGAAAACTTGTAGATTGTTGTTTCATGTACTTGGCATAATTTGAAAATTCCTAGAGGTAGTTATACACTAAAATTATTTCATTGTTCTTTTCGACAAACACAGTACACATTGAGCCATGCCCCGACAATGACCCCGTGCTAGTGCTCGTTGCAACGGATGAAGTGCAAGGTATTGAATTATTTTTTGACAATTGAATTTATTTTTCGTTTCATTTGTTTACATTACAACTTTCCCGGTTCCCGCCAATGTAGCCCGACCAGGACGGGAACTTACAATAAAGAGACGGCGATCGGCACGACTGTGACGTCCGACACCTACTACCAGGACTCCGTACACCAGGGGGAGCACAAAGCAAAAACAAAAGTAACTATGGATAAATTGCCAAACATAGCATGACGATGGGGTTCAGCATGCTTTTGCATTTTTTTGACGTAATTTAGGTGGTGAAGGATGTTTGATAATTGGCTTGATATTGGTGCCTTTTTCATTCATTTTTGTGATTTCCATATCAGTCAGGGTAGTTGGCAAGCATGGTGACACTTAGACGCATTCCTCACATTTTGCAATTCCCGTAGTGAATGCCTTGTCACCGTTTACCGTTGCTGAAATTATTGTAGCGTTACAATTTGTATTAGTTATCCGGCTTTAGTATGTTATGTCAATCGTACTTACGGTACTTCGTGCCTTGATTCAATTTTTGTCAACGCTCGTACATTGTATTGCGCAAAATATTATGTATGTGTACGTTTTACGAATATCCATTTACGAGTAGATAGCGGGATTGAATGTCGTAGTGCCTTAGTAAACTATAGATTGGGTTAAGATGAGGACCCATTAAAAGTGCAAAAGTCATGACTTCCATGGTACAACTAATTGACAAATGAGTTTATGTATATTCCCCTGTCCTTCGTATGTTATTATGTGGGTTAACATGATGAGTGTGTTTTGTGAGAAACTGTACCATTACAACCATGGTGCAACTAACAAGCTGGAAAATGAGAAGTAATTTGTTGCAAGAAACCAGATAACATGAATTTTACATATCATTGAAGTATTCTAGTCTCTGCCAATGTCATAGTAATTATGGTACAATGGGAAATAAAGGTACATTTATTATATTCAACCATCACACCTATTGCTTTCCAAATGTACTTAGAGATTGGACTTGGTGGTTGGGTAGATAATGAAGTAATTACTTCCTCCTTTCAGGATGATTATAAATACCAGGAGATCATTATTGCTTACAAGCAATTTTGTAGCCAAGGTATTGTGCCACTTTGAACTTACCTACAGATCATTGTGACACTTTCAACGTAGTTGAACTGCATTGTGGTAAAAAAGAGCTACTTCTATTTATTCTTCTTCATTTATTTTACAGTTTACAAAATTCGAAGTTATACGATCTTTACTGCAATGCACGTTTTCGTCAACTGTCGAGAATGAATAAAACATCTGTCGGGCCCGACAATTAAACTAGGCGGGCCATTAAATTTTATAAGTTCCTTGCTTTTCGAAAATTGAAAATGGTGGGATTGTCCAATACAAGTGTCTTAGTGTAACATGCTATTGTAGATATTATACGTTTCTCATTTTTTGCAAGCAACATGTATTTCCAATACATTTATACTTACATATTAAATGCATCACAAGCATTGTCTATCAAATTACATTTCAGATGTCATGAAAGCTTCCATTTTGAAACAGGTAGTTGATACGAGATAATGGGTTCATCCACCTCCAGCAATGAAACATTCAACTCCAATATGCATTCGCCGATACTGGGTTCATCCGCTGAATTTCCCGTCGTTCTATTGTCAGACGATGAGGATATAAGAGTTGAACAGCATGGTGCCAAGTTCGATGAAGTGTCAAGTGCAGAATCTAAGTCACCGAAAAACTTTTTCGATCAAGTCTTCGAGGTCAGGGGTCCGGTCGAGTCACCGTCCGACTCGAATGAATGGGTGGCTCATGTTCCACCTCCAGAAGTAATTGTCATTAGCTCAGACGAGTCTGATGGGGAAAGTGGGGGAGCTTCTTAAATTGTCAAAAGCAGTGCAAGTGTGTAATAAACGGCCTTTTTGTAGGAAAATATGTTTAGTATTTTGTGGTATGGATGAATTTGGTCACGTTCTCTGGATACGTGCAGAAATTGCATCTCCATAATAGGCAACCGCAGTAGTGTAGGTTTTCAAGCCGCTGTTGTTCCCAATTGTCGAGAATTATAGAGACTATCTGTCGGGAACGACATATGAACTGTCGAGACATAATGTTGGTGTTTTGTTTGTTCACTATGGTCTCATGAAAATCAATTTTCCATTTTGACAAACTGTCAGTCCAAGCTAATGAAACTTCTATGATCGGCTAAGTTTATATTAAGAAAAAGGTATTCATGTCGTTTGTGATAATGGAATTGTAATGATCGGTACTTTGCTTGCAGAACATAACGACCAAATTTGCATTGGCGTACGATAATAATAACAGATTCATAAAATAAGTTGGGAATGTAGAATGCTTATTTAAATTAAGTTTTTCGGGGATTACATTTGACAACCACTTTTACACATCACGCTTGTTCAAGTGGCTTGTGATACAATAGGGTTCGAACATGTGGTCCGGTTATGACCAAGTCTCCCACATCGAGTGCATTTCCTCACTTGGGTAGTGGACTCGTATCTAGCTCGCTTACGTCGTGCGGTGGTCTACCTGGAGGACGACGTACAATCGGTGGCAAAATATGAGTGCCTAGGATTTCATTTGGAACAACCCAATCCACTTCCCGTGTAACGGGATATATGACTTCTATATAGGCACCCCTCCAGTATTCCGATGTATAGTACGGAGAGCATAGATTGTATAATGACTTACCACTCAGGGTAGCACCACGAGTTGCATGAGCACATGGCATACGATTTAGTTGAAACTCATGACATGTGCACGTGTTATCGGAGAAGTCCACTATCTCCGTATCGTTGGATATTCCAACCTGGGTCAAGCTGTTTGTCAACTCATGAGCTCGAAGCCTAGTACCAGCTTCAAATGTTGTTTGTAACTCGTTCTCCATCCTCGACGACAATATAGTACTGCATGTGGTTGCATTGGTTCGACGTTCGTAAAACCACTTCTGCATTGTTTTACGAATGTGCTCGACCAAAAACGTGATTGGCAATGAACGAGCATGTCTCAGCATTGAGTTCAATGATTCTGCGTTGTTGTTTGTCATAATGTTGTATCGGTCGCCCACGAATAGCGCTCGTGACCAGAATGAAAAACTGGCTTTCTCCAAATACCTGTAACATCTTTCACTGACCCTACGAATCTGTCCCATTAGTCGTTCGAACTCTTCGACCCGATAAGTTGTAGCAGCTTGTTTGAACAGGAATATTGAACTTGCGTTAAAGTGCCGCTGAATTAGGTTCTTCTCCACATGCCACATACAACAACAATGACGAGATAAAGGATATAAGTGAGTAATAGCTCTTTCGATACTTCTTTTCCTGTCCGAAACAAATACAAGTTCAACTGAGTCGCCTATAAGATCTTTCAAGTTAGACATAAACCACATCCAAGATCGGTTAGTTTCGGAATCCAAAATTCCCTACGCTAAGGGATAAATCTGTTGTTGGTATCTTGGGCAGTTGCCAGTAAAAGTGTACCCTTGTATGGACCTTTCAAGTGACTACCGTTAACGCAAACAACGGGCCTCAAGTACTGCATGTAACCACGAATGCTTGCACCAAAAGCTAGGAAGAAGTAATGGAATCTATCGCACGAATTAAGTTCGATGTGGGTTACCGTCCCCGGATTATTCTCACCTAGTACGTGACAGTATGAAGATAGTTTCTGAAAACTGTCCTCTGGTGTCCCATGCAATATATGTAAAGTGGCCACCTTCCCCCTACGTGCCTTATTGTAACTTATTTGGACACCGAGCTCACATTCCATGTCACGTGCAATAGTGCTCGGATCATACGATCGGTTCGGATTATCCAATTTTTCCAAAATATGCTCCGCAATTACAGAAATCGTCACATGTCGATGCACATTACTGTGAAAATTGATGGAACATGTGTGCACAGTATTGAATTTACGGATCACAAAGATTGCAGACTGCTTCACAGTAGTAGCACGTAACATCCACTTGCAACTGCTGTCGGCTCATACAATGGTTAACATCTTCATGCTTGACCGGCTCACCCAAAATTGGAACTTGTTTTTCAAAGTAAGTGCACGAATTTTCGAGTACAACTCTTTCTTGCTGAAGAATATTTCCTTTTCGGCAAGATCGGATGTAGTCACAGTTCTCATAAATTCATATCCATCCGATTCGTTGGAATGTGACAAAGAGTGCTCGTTGTCGACGTCAACAGAATTAGCAGCCTCTAAACTAAGTGATGGGTTATCCAAGTTCTCATCTAATGGTGCAGTCCCGTTATCATACTCATGTGTTTCAAGTGCATTATTGTTTGAGACACTATGCATTCGATTCACCAAATCATGTTCCACGTTTTGCAGAACATCTACCGCGGCAAACGAAGGATCTTGAAAATTTGCATCCCTTCCCATGTCAACACTTGGGAGATCGGGTTCCAAAATAGTAACGCAGATAGCACTTTCCTTATGCACTGATACGTACCAATTTAAATCTTCATTGTTGCATATTTCAGCCGGAGGTATATTCAAGTTAGGGACTTTGAACTTCAATTTAATTTGAGCGCGGGGATCAAGAGTACCAAGTTTCTCCTTCAACCTTAACATAAGTTCGGCTACGGTAATACTTGTTGGCACCAGAATGGAAGTAGTTGTGTCCCCTCTCCACTTCCATTCGTCATCTGCATGAACAAAATTTCCCCTATGCGACACGATGAATCTCAAATGATTATTCATACCTGAAATGTTGGAATTGCAATGGTAACAATTCAGAATCAATATGTTGGCATTTAATAGCATGAAAGTCTCACTTCATAATACGTAAATCAGTACAACAACAAAATGTCAAATCAAGGGTTTGTATCGTTTTGAAGTATCCAAATTAAAACTAAAATTGTATAACTCGGCAGTTTCGAAATGTCAGGTTCGACATCTCAAACGTCTAACCCGACGATTTGTAAATGTCGAACTCGACAGTTTAACTGTTGAGAATGTCGGGAAGCAGACGGCAATGAATTTCTCAGGTTTCTTCAACACATCATATTAAGTGTGATCATTATTATTCACCTACCAAATGACAAAATGAAAATGACATATTGGCCTTGTCATTAAAGAGACCTTAATGGTGGTAATGGAAGAAATTACTCAATGGTGATAATGACATTTTATTAAGGATTCAAAAAAATCAAACAAATGAATGCATAATACTTTCAAATTAGTTTCAAATAAATATGCCCATGTTGTATTTAATATGTACAAATACAAAGTTATAAATGTAAAATAAAATAATTTGTAATTGCTAACCTCTCAAACTGGATGTAGAATGCAACACAAATGTCTTCTTGATCAATGAAAATGAAGAAGATAGAAAAGAGGTAGGGTTTCTTGTTTATGTTT